TCATGTCCTCAAGACCTTTATTATGTTCATGATCTTTAGCCTCTTTGAGCTCAGCTTCCAAGACTTCCAATCTCAAAGCTTTTGATTTGATATCGTCTTCTAGCTTTTTATTCTTTGACTTCGTTTTCTTTTTATATTTGTTAAATCGTTTGTTTATTTTCTTGTATTTTTGCCGTTCCCTGGTCAATACCCTTCTTAAGTGTCTAATTGTTACTTTGCTTTTCTCAACAAGTTTGTATTTCAGAGCGATTTCTTTATCTTCCATATCACTTTTGTGCTTGGCAGTCAGAGCACTCATTTCATTACGTAACATTTCGTTGCACTGCAAACTTGATTCCAGATGTTTATTTTCTCTTTCATATTTATCAGTCATTTCTTTCAATGAACATTCTATTTTCTCCTTCGCTTGTTGAAGTTCGTTGTACTCGGATTCGTGTACAGTGCACTTGCTACAAGTATTGAGTCCTGAGTTTGAATGAAATACAAGCAATTCATGTTAACAGTGATCAAGTCGTTTTCCTGTTGGTTTGTTGGGGGTGTCGTTTTGTTGTTGTTGTGGGTACGTAAATTCGTCGATTGTTTGTTTGTACATCTTACCTGTATCATCCATAGTTGTAGCTTTGTCTATTTTAGACATCTGCTTTTCTTCAAAAATTTTTAATTGTTTTTCATATCGCTTGACACACGTTTTAGCATAGTCTCTATAAGCCATGAGATATCTAACATATTCTACATTTACTCTTTCTTTTGGGTTGTGTTGGCTTCTTGCACTGGTGGGTCTTCCACTAAGGTGAGGTTTTTCCTGACTTCCCAACTCGTCGGCGCTTACTTTGCTTGAACTGCTCGCATCATTTCTCTGAAAACTGGCTTCAAGTCTCTCAATTACCTTGCTTTGGCTCTGCAACACTTCCTTCAAGTCAACATATCTACTTTGAAGGGATAGTTTTTCCTTTTTCTCTTCGTCTAGGTCTTTCGTCAATCTCTCTTTCATCTTGTTTAACTCGTTGATATTAGAAATCATTTTTTCTTTCTCGTTTTCTACCTGATGCAAACATTCTTCAAGCTCTTTTCGTATGTTTTCTAGCTTATTTTTCTCCAATTCCAGTTGCTCCAATTTATCGCGTGCCTCCCGAAGCCTGTCCCCTAACCTGGCACTGTTGCAGCGTTCCATTGACAACTTTTTCTCCATTTCTAAAATCAAAATTTAATGCGTTTGGATAAAAAAATACCGAATTACTTTTAGTCTACTTTTATGAAGATTTAAAAAAAATGAAAAGGGTTGTAGTATGTGTTGTATAACTCCCTGACATTTCGTAGTAACAAAGACGAGTCACATCTTTGAGTCATTCTTAATTGACTAAAACCTTATTACAGCTTATCAAAATAAAACATACAAGGCTTAAGAGGTTTTTTGACTAATTTTGTCTAAAATATAGATACAACTTGTATCTATTATGCACTAGTCAATTGAAACCCCCGCCCCCCGACCCGCGGGGCTAGCGGGGCACTGAACGGGGACGTGACGCTTTTTTAACGTGTTTTTAACAGCAAGATTGCCCCAGGGGTCGGGATTTTGATGTTGTTTTCGAAGCGGGGCAAAGAGCGGGGATTTTAACGCGCGTTTGACTGCTGGAAACTACCTCTGCATGRAATTTTTTTTAAATAAACTTATTAACCATGTTTTTCTCCGTGATCCAGTTAACCTCATGTAGTACGCAAATGAGTACACAGGATTGTGCAAAAATTAACCCTGTGTATCACAGAAAATTTGATCGAAAGGTCTTTGTTTTGTTATTTACTACTACCAAAATAGCGGGGCAACAGTAGCGTGGATTTTAACAGTGAATGTGCCTCCGACTACCGGGGGAAAATGTTTTATTTTAACACCACTCAAACGTTAAATTCCCCGGTATTCCCCGRGGGTCGGGGGGCCGGGGTTTCAATTGACTAGTGCATTAAATACATGGTGTATGCTATTTTGAATACAAAATCAATGGTAATAAAAGTAACTTTTATGACCACAAACGTGGAATCATTGTAATGTCGATCGTTGTTAAATTACAATGCAAACGTTTACCTTCACCCTCGAGAAGTAAATCTGCCAAGTGGGGCTGCACTTTTTTTAAGGCATCGACCAAACATCGGAACGCGTGAGGTCCTCTTCTAGGAAGAATATCAAGCATCTTGTCGACCTGGTCTGTTCTGGTTGGTTGAACTTTGATTTGTTGTTCGTCATTCTCATCAAGTATGTTGTCCTGAATCAAATATGGCATACATTTCATCGGCTCCAGATCTWTTCGGAAACTCACCCGTTTAAGAAGTGATCGGTGAACATCTTCCATGGCTTGCTTGATTATCTCAGTACTACTAGAAGTGAAATCATCTGTGAGATGTGATCCTTGAAATAACGACAGAAGACATATGACGGAGATCGATTTGACTACAAGCGGAATCAGAGTCAGTAGCGGAGTGAAAGTAATTTTCTATGAAAGTGAAAACGGAGTTGAGAGAACCAACTCACGACTGCGACATTATGATAAATAGATTAAATACTGAGATGAAAACCAGATTTCTGACTCTGTTTCACAATTCCGATTCTGACTGAAGTAAAAATCAACCAAGATTAGAAATCCTTGGGGGAGGGGGAGGGGTGGCTTGAGCCAGATTCACCGGACGTTTTTTTAATTTGAATTATTGCAAACCTGTATAAGACGTTGAAAACGTAAAAGGTACACCCCTATTCAAGACAACTGAAGCCTGGTCAATTGCACTTAGTTCAGCCACGAAGCAAAGTACAACAACGGAACACGGCTGAAGAATATCATGTCGGAAGTTGTTTTTATCACCCTTTTTAAAAGAAGATTTTTCCAATCCTYTTTCCAAAAACATTTCATAAACACTCTCTTAATCATCTTTGGTATATGAATTTAAAATATACATTTTAAAACGCTGGTAAGTTGAGATATTTTAATTACGTCTGAATGTGATACACACCTACTCAGTATAAAACGTACATCTACTCAGTATAAAACGTACATCAGCTAATTTTTACATGGTTCTTATAAAGAACGATACATAGCTATTTATTGTACTGATATAATCCTTTTGTTTGCTGCAAATCTTAAGATGAGGAAGGAAAGATCTTTAAGTCTTATACTTAAATACCGGAATTTACGGAATGCGAACAGGGCTCKCTGTCAAAACTCCAGACAATTTAACCATAACTTGATAAATACGCCACTTTGTTTGTACTTTTCTCGTGTAAATCGGGAGATCGGGAGATATTTGCTATTTCCAATGAGGAAACCTAGAAATTTGAGGCTGAAATCATGAGAAAGACAGTCCAAAATCTGAACAGAGTCCGACAGCTTATTCCAGGGAATCCAGAAGAGTTAACAGCCTGTTTCTCGGGAAGAACTAACTATAAATATATTTTGGAGTTGATCTCTACCTCTCTACCTTAAAGGTCTGGATATTCTTTCAGTAAGAACGAAGACAAGGTCGAAATAACAAAACCTTTGTTCGGGAAATTAGCGTACGTACCTTAAAACATTAAGCTAGTGCGTCTTCAGGGCTAGCGGCCTCACTTCAAGCAGGTCTTTTAGTTGTTCGTTGGACGTCAAGGATTCAGGAAATGATTCGTTATAGGCTTCTGTCGACTGATGTCTTTTTAAGTCATTCTAACCTTAGAGCAATCCAATCGGAGTTTGGATCTCTTTTCTAGGCTAGTATGATTCAAGTAGCAAAAGGCAACTTATAACTCATAAACATCGACGGTCATCGCTAAAACCGATTAAATTACTTGGAATTCAGCCGACGCGCATCATGTTTCATAACTTTTGATCTTATTTTGTTGGAGTGCATTGACCATGTCCGTGAAATGACTTCTACTAAATTAGTTAATTTAAAAATTCTCAGTCTTTTATTGTTTGGATACTGCAGTTGTGTGAAAAGTGTTTCACGCTATAGATTGAAAACCAAGCGTGAAAACTACCTTCCGTACATCTCCTTCGCGCATAGCCCAACAACAATCTAACCTTACGAGGAGTGGGATGAAATTTCCCCTAGAGAATTGATTGACCGATCCCGATTCATTGTCCTACCTCCCTAGTAACTGTTTCTTCGTCGAACAAGCGAAAATATTCCTTGATGTAGAGCATGGAAAAGATAGCGATTGCTGCGATATGTAGGAACTTGCCTCTATTGAAGGAATTCAGACGGAAAACAAGCGAAAGCCAGTGCGAAGCACTAAAGGCCCATTAACACTTGCGATTTTTGCAGAGCGATTCTCGCGGCGATCGTCATGCGACCATGGCCTGAGTTTCGAACATGCTTGAAAATTGGCTTCAACTCCATTTTAATCACATAGTCTTGAAGGTTCTTGGATTGTAAGGGCCATAGGAAATATAGAGAGACTGTCCAGATAATAATTACTACCAAACGATTCACGGCTTTTTCCAGTACATGAATCTTTTCACATTACTTTATTAAGTTATTGATAAACTGTTTTAATGATATCATGTTTAGTACTGTAAATTCTAACAATAATGATACAGATTTTTAGTCTCATAAATGTTTGATATCTTGCCGCTTTTCTTCTTTGAGAGAATCCTATCAAACTTTACCCTGTCGTACGGTTACAATTTTTGAGTTAATTAAACTTAAAATGTTTTCCTATAACCAACTAGTACAGCTCCTTGTTTATAAGCCTAGTGAGTCTCCAGTTACTATATATATGATCTTTATATCTTGTTTCAAATGTGGTAAGTGTTTTTGTACCCGGAATTACAACCAGAATCGTTGACATGACCCAAACAAGACAAATCGACCTCCTTGCTGCACGTCTTGCATTCACAATTTTAGTAGGACGCYATAAATCTCAAAACCAGACAGGTACAAAGCATATCGTCCTGCTGAATTCTTCCCTGTTTGGTGGATTCTAAAGTACCTCATTGCCTCGACCTTTCCTTCAATGGCCCAAGTTCCGGTGTAAAACGGATAAGTCCCTTTCAAGCCCCGATCATTATCGTGACTCCTTAAAATCATCCAGTTCTTTCCATCACGTGATCCTTCTAGATTCCAGTTTCTTAGAATTGAATGTGCTTTATCATTGCCATGACGTAATGTATAATGTGTAACGTACAGCGCATGCGTCTCGCCCAAGTCCACTTCCCACCAGGAGTATTCGGTATCTGCTGTGCAGCTAAGTGCACCTTTGGAGTGAGCAAGATCGAGAATATCCGAAGGTTGACCTTGATTGCATGAGGATCGCCTTACTTTGATTGTGCAGTTATCACTTTTGGCTGGATTGACGAAGGGTTTTGTGTTGAAATTTGTTCCTAAATTGTAGATAATGCCATTGCGGTCAAAATCGTCTTTGAAGTTGAAAACTCCTGCAGTGAAGAGAAATACACTTTTAACGCATTTATGGGTATCTTACTCGTGGACTCCTTTGCAGCCCTCGGCTCATTCGTGTGGTCTCATACAAAGGAGCGCATGATGCGTGCACAGGAGGCCAATAGYTTTGGTCTCTTGAGGGCACTCTGATTTAATGGGCAATATAATTTCCATGATCTAGAATTACTGAAAAAAATTCTGTTTACAGAGGACCGTCGCCATTAAGGAGACTTGATTGACGGTCCTGAAGTAAAGGTGCCCATTGCAATTTGACAGCATTAAAACCCTGCGTATAGGAACCTAAAATCTAAGAAACTGTCAGCCTGRAATTTTAAGTAGTAGGTTCTTAATATTCCAAATACTAAGTCAATGTTCTCTATTATTTTGTTACCCCTGTGTTTGCACTGCTATGTAGCTAGCATATGAACATGTTCGAGATAAAATGCCACACCCACCAATACAAGTGATTTTTTCATACCAAAGAATAGTAGAGCCCGATTTCAAGTTAAGCACCATTCATATAAGAACCTTGTCCGGCTGATTTGGAGAAATCTAGGTTCTTATACGCGGGGTTTAACTGTGTTATTACGTAAAAAATACACATTTCCTACTTCCAGTTGGCAGTTTCTTCCACCGTGTCAACTCTTCTGTTAGTTCTTTTTGAATATCTTGTTCTTCCTTTAAAGAAGCCTTCAAACTGCCGATGACCTCAAGACCCTGGTTCTTTAGGTCTTGTGCCTCTTTGAGTTCAGCCTCTAGTTGTTGCATCCTCAAGACCACCGTTTCCCTCTCCTTGTACAAATCACTATACAACCGTTTCATTGTTAGCTTGTCTCTCTCAGTTTGAGATTCAAGTTCATCTTTCAAGTCTTTCATTTCACTGTCGTGTTTGACAGTCATTTCATTTCGTACTTTTTCTATCTCATTGGTGAAGTCTTCCTTAGCTGTTTTGTRCAGCTCCTCAAGCTTTTGTAAGCTGGATTCCAGATCTTYCTTTTCTCTTTCATGYTTATCAGTGACATCTTTCAATGCGCATTCTAATTTCTTCTTCGCTTGTTGAAGTTCCTTGTACTCGGGTAAAMCTGATTGGTATTCGATGCACTTGCTACAAATATTGATTCCTGTGTTAAAAAAAAACAGAATACATATGTAAGCAGTGAAGAGATTTAAAAATCTTGAAAGTGAAGGCAGCGGCGCGTGGGCTCGTATTTACGACTACTTTGGTTAGTATTATGGGTTCCTTTTGTTTGCACAACCTAACCTGAATCTTCCATCGCAGCTTTATCAATTTGAGGTTTCCACTTTTCTTCAARAACTTGCACTTCTTCTTGTAAGTCTCTGTCGTCCGTAAAATAAACCGATATGTTGTCAAGCTCTACGAGTTCATCATTATCTATAATGCATACGCGCATTTCGTCGCCAATTTGTGAAATGTCTTGCTTTCCATCACAGCTTGTACTTTTGGCACTATGTGTTCTTCTGCGCAAGAGAGGAGGTCGTTTCTCTCGAGTTAAAGATTCGTCGGCGCTTACTTTCCTCAAGTTCACCTGATTAATGTTCGTATCCTTCCTCTGAAAACAGGTCAGTTTAAGTCTCTCAATTATCTTGCTTTTGCTTTGCAACTCCTCCTCCAAGTCMAAATATTTACTTTGAAGGGTTAACTTCTCCTGTTTTTCTTCCTCTAGGTCTTTCGTCAATCTCTCTTTCATGTTGTTCAACTCGTTGATATTAGAAGTCAATTTTKYTTTCTCGTTTTCTGACTGATGCAAAAGTTCTTCAAGCTGTTTWCGTCTGTTTTCTTGCTTATTTTTCTCCAATTCAAATTGCTSCAATTTAACGCGTGCCTCGCGAAGATTGTCCCCTAACCTGGCACTGTTACAGCGTTCCTTTGACAACTTTTTCTCCATTTCTAAAAAATGAAATTTACTGGCTGGATAAAAATGTACCGAACTACTTTTTATGAMTATGATAAAAATTGACACTGGTCAGTCCAGAAGGAATAATGGATCGAAATAATTAATGTGGTTATATTTGGCTAAAAATAGTTAAAATTCATGCAATTATGAATGCGTTTAGGCAAAATCAATGGTAAGTAATACTGCGTTCAGCTGGGCTACTGGTTCAATATATACCCGAGGGCCCAGTTATAGGAAAAAGCCGGTGGGGGTGGATGGTGGACAAAAAAATTTGAGCAGGATATTTTTCAGTGAGTAGTTATAACCTCCAGGATTTCTTTTTGTTGTTGCAAGCCTTGCAGGGTTATTTTACACAGCTCAAAATGTGTTTGGTTCAATCAGTGCACCTGCAGGAATTTTTTTCCTTTTTGGGAGGGGGGAGGGGGGGTTGTAGGTTTTTGGCGCTACAAATCAGAAATAATGCTAATTTTTTCGTGTTTTTAGAGGAGTTTTTTAATCTTTTACATAATATGTGTCCTGTACACTTAATTGAAGAATTTTATCAGAAGGCATGACAAACTGAGCAATAAGTGGAGAAATCGAATATTTCGCGAAGCATGAGACACAAAAAGTGCACGGTGGTTATACGCTACACCTTTCAACCACTTGAAGATTTTCTGGTCATATTAAATATAATACCAACCCCTTTGGTTGTAAACCTTAGAATTCCGACTTCAACATGGAAGTTTTGTAATTTTGTCATTGGGGAAATCAAACTGCACAAGAAGTTATTGACTTTAAAAAGTTTACCTTCACCCTCGAGAAGTAAATCTGCCAAGTGAGGCTGCACGTTTTTTAAGGCATCGACCAAACATCGGAACGCGTGAGGTCCTCTTCTAGGAAGAATTTCGAGCATCTTGTCGACCTGGTCTGTTCTGGTTGGTTGAACTTTGATTTGTTGTTCGTCATTCTCATCAAAATGAAGTTCYCTACGTTCCCTCAAATATGGTATAACTTTCTTCGGTTCCAGATCTTTTCGGAAAATCACGCGTTGAAGAAGAAGTCGGTGAAGATCGTCCATGACTGGCTCTATTATCCCAGTACTAAGCAAAAATGGAAGTGAAATATGATACATGTTGGCTGTGATCCCATTGATAAACGTCACAATACTACAAGGCTTGTTTTTTCACTACCGTGGCGGAATCGGAATCGCAGTCAGAAACGGAGTCAGAAGATCTTTTAGATGAAGTGGAAACGTAGTTCGAATCGGAATCAGGGCAGAAATGCGTGGAAAGGGAACATAAATCGAAACATGAACCATTTTATTTCCGACTCTGACTGCGCCTTCTTCAATAACTATAAATAAGTAAATCCAGAAGATTCTGACCTTGTGACTCCAATTTCGATTCCGTCTGAAAACCAACCTCGAATAGATCATAGTTAATACTATGAAAAGATCGACAGACACTATGAATTGCATCGTAAATATTATGTCAGAAAGATGTTGACACAAAAGAAAACAATGCAGAAAAGAAAGCGTGGAAAGGGCGAAGCCGGGTGTATTAGTGCGCGCAATACCAATTACAAGAGTTTTTTTACTTCGCTCTGTACGAGAATTTCTTTGTGTGAGATAACGGAATGATTCGGATAACAGACTAAACACAGACTTCGAAGATTTCAGATCATTGATACTAGAAAAAAATAGATTTCAGCAGACTAGCTAAGTTCTGTATCACGATTTTAGAATCAATTCAATTCAACGAACTTGAACTCATTTAAATTTTCCACAGACCCAGACACCACGCCACTTGGTACCACTCGGATTACACAAAGATTTTAAATACTCAAGCATGTTAAGGCCTGGGATTTCTTTCCTGGGGTCTAAAATCAAAACATTTTTGTCCTGTAGTCGTTATCGCTTCAAACATTACAAAGATTGGCATGAGCATGTAACTCGACTTCCTYAAGATTTCSAGATAAAAARWTTTGAGGTAGAGTGATCACGTGACCATGATCCTGGCACCCAACAAYCCAAARACTTTGATTTAAAATGGGGAGATGGATATCATGTGTGGGTACGACTTAATGGTATATTTTCMTTTCTTCTTAAGAGATGTATAAGAATCTGCCTTAATACCTGAACTACCTTTGCTCGTTWAGGCGATATTACGKAAAAGAGGTCACGTGACCCACTTGGCAAATCAAAAAATAGCAAATATCACCTTAATGAGCAAAGAAAATTCAGGTATTAAGGCAGATTCGTGTACATCTCTTAGAAAGAAGTGAAAATATACCATTAAGTCCTTCCTACACGTGACATCCATCTTCCCGTTTTAAATCAAAGTTTTTGGGTTGATGGGCGCCAGGAACGTGGTCACGTGATTAGCATATTATAAAATTTTTCTCTCTAAAATCTTAAGATTGTCAAGATACATGCCCATGCCAAATTTTGTAAGGTTTGAAKMGAGAACKACTACAGGACAAAAATAAATTGATTTTAGACCCCCCGCGAAGCATTTCCCAGGCCTTAACATGCTTGAGTATGACAACATATTTACTACACTTTTCTACACTTTGTTTTCCTATTGTCTAATCTACACTACGTATAAATTGCACTGATTTGGCGGGTAAGTTCTTCTTACGCTTTTATAGTGTTTGAACTCTAGAAAAACATTGTTCCTGCATGGTTCGTTTTGTTTATTGTGGCAATGTTGAAGTTAACGGTCTGCACAAAGAAAGCCACAAAACAGCGAAAGTAAAATGCAACTGTTCATTTACCTTTTTGGCCACATTTAAATGATGACTGAATACAAATCGACATTAGTGACAACCAATTTCAGCTAATTCTTTAAGTGATAATTCATAATCCATTGGAAAAAGTTATAACTCTTTTTATTAGTGTTTTCTTTTGCTGTAAAGGAGATATGTGATGTTTACGGAATGCGGAAATAGCGCTGGATGTCAACCCTAGACAATTTCATGCCTTGAGAAATGCGACCCGACAATTTGTTTATACTTTTCACTTGCCCGACAAGTTTCTCTTTACTTGCTGTTAAAATCGGGAGATATGTGCTATTTTTTCGAATGAGGAAATTGGGGAATTCATGCGGCTTGAGACCGAGAGCCCCTGATGGTTCAAAATCTGGCCAGACTCTCCTGAACGGCGCCTTATTCGGATCCTCTTATTCATGGGTATCCAGGAGAGTTGACAGCCATGTTTTCAGGAAAGACCTTAGATATAATTTTAGAATTGATCCTTCTGTAGTCAGCCTTTCATACAAAAGTGTTAGGGGTGGTTTGACGAACCTTTTAGGGCCCAAAATAAAACTCTTGCGTTCGTTCGTCAGTTACAAGTAGGGTCTAGATCTAAGACAAACAATTACATGTTTAGGGTCAGTCAACGAACATTTTAACGGATTATACAGATTGGAAGAGTTTTATGAAAAAAGACATGCACTTCCTCAAACCTTTTAACCGTCTGAAAACCACTAGAATATATTTCTGCGTACCTACGTCATAAATTTTCATCAACGAACATCCCTGGCACTCGATGGCCGTTGAACTGTTGGTCCACAGTGCACATGCAGAAGCGATAATCCAATTTCGAGCGTTGGAATCAAAACAAAGAAGCATATTCTTCTGTTTAACTGGTAGCCCGAGAAAACGCATTGAATATGTGAAGAAATAAAATTGACCTGAAATCTCACACTTCTACGCTCACAATCAGGAATATGCTGCACACAAATGAGGCTAGTAACACAGAGCATTAGAGAATTCGAAACTGGAGTATTTATCAGAGTTCAGTGTTCTACAGGATGTTATTTCAGAAAGAAAAACGAAGAAAGAAAGCAATAGCTTTGCTCTGGAAGTTAATGTACTTACCTCAAAACATTTCAAACTGCGCCTTAGCCTGCTTAGCTGCCACCTCACTTCACGCGGGTCTTGTCTTTGTTTGTTGGACGCCAAGGATTCTTTGAGGAAAAGATTCGTCTATTATGCTTATTCCAGTTCTGCACMGACTTCTCGTTTAGTCGTTCTATGTACATCAAATGAATCCTCTCGGCGGAGTTTGAATCTGTTATTTAGACTACTATTCACCGAGAAAAAGGCAACTTATGAATCGTAAATCTCGGGTCGCTCTTAGAAACGGGAGGTCAGCGTTTAAGGATTTATTACTCGTTTCCAGTCGGTAGCAGGCGGTAGTCCGGCGTTACAGATGTCYSTGATTGACATTTTAAAACATCAATATTGGTAAAATGGTAAWACGGCATGGTGTTCTTAGAGTGCAAAAACTGGATTGAAGTCATTAAACCCGTGAAACAAAACTTGACTATTGAAGTTTGATAGTCAAGAAGACTCAGAAGAAAACAATGCCTAAAACGTGCATTTTTAGTATAATAATATCTATATCATGTTTTTTTTTACTTCATTCTAGATGTGCAACACTTGCACTATTTACTGCTAAACAGTCCTGACTGAAAAATAGAAAGCAGTAGAATTAGCATAATTTTAATTGTAAAATTATTATAATATATTATTAATAATAAAATTATTATTTTTTAATTATTTTTTATTATTTTTTAGTTAAAACTAAAAGCAGTATTTAGTAATTTTTTCAATTCATTTAAATTAATCAATTTTTTTCTGAATTTAATGCCTACAACATTCATCCAAGAACTTCTGCAATCATTTGATTTGTTATCATTTGACTGTTATTGAAAGCTGACTTCTGATTGGTGGTCTCCTCTTGCAGCTGTTCAGTGGCTTGTTCCCAGGTCTCTCCCTGCTATGAGAGAGAGAGAGAGACAGGGGAAATTTTGGAATGTGAGAATRTTTTGCCAACAAGGTTCTTGGAAGTATGTGGATGTATGGGCTCCCTGTGTCTAAGTGGATACAACCAACCAAATCGAGCAATAACATGCAGCCATGCATTTAACAAACATTTGATATTGCATGGAGATTCAATTTCAATTAATATCAGTAATAAAAAATAAAAGTGCTTTTCATTTTTTCAATAAAAGTCAACCAATAAAACTGAATGTTTTGAYAGTCTTGATAAACATAAAACCAATACTTTTTTAAATACAGTAAAATGTTCAATACCGCAGCTAGAGTGAACACACTTAGTATGTGAAATTTAAAAAGCCACTCTGTAGTGTTTTCTTCAATTTAGTAAATGTTGTTCATTAGGAACAATAGTGATTCAAAGGACGTTTTGCTTCATTGGCAGATTTAGTGTCAATTTATACTATTTTAATGGGTTAAATGCATTTATTCTAGTGTGTGATGCTGCAGTAATACTTATCATATTTCTTTTCTGTGCTGTTTTAAGAATGGTTCCAATGATCCATCCTCCTTGCTACTTTGASCATCAWTTCTTCTCTTCATTGCCCCTTGCTTGWCCCTTGAATTGTCATTCTTTGCTTTACTATCACTAGTGTAAATAGAAGCAGGGATTCCATATTTATTCTTGGAATAAATATTCAGGTGTGTGTAGATATCTGGCTTGTAATGCATCTTWATGTGAATGCCCAATTCCCTAATTGCCTTCTCAACTCTTTGTACATCATTTTCATCCGTGAAATCTTTRGTATAAATACATATTAGATGAGTTGTCTKGTCAGGTTTCCTYGGACTGACTTTAGCAGTGATACCCAGTTTCCCAGCGACTACAGCCTTGGCAATGGTAGACCACAAGTCATCTATTTCAGTACTGAAACACATCAATTCATTCAAAAAAATATAGAGGAACAATTATTCCACAGAAACTTTTGCTCTCCCAAAGAACTCTTTATTCATTAAATTTATTATAGAGATATTATAGCTTCAAGTTGGTTAGCCTGAGTATC